AATTGGAGTAACTCGGTAGCAAATTTAGGAAAGTAATTCTTCACAATTCTAGTTCCTCTTTCCAAAGGAAACCATTTCACGAAGCTTACCGATCGTCTGTATAAGCACAAAATGGCAGCGCGAACTTTAAAATTCCCAAACTAAAACTTGCTTAAATATATAAAGTATATATCTATCCGATGTTCGAAGCATCTTTCATCATTCGTTTGTTCATTAGTTTAACGCTGAAGCTACTGAACAGTCAAATAGACTTTCTGAAACTTTTCTATAAAGATTTCTATTAATTTACAACGGTGTTTACATATTACTGACTCGATTTATCCGGTAATTTCTCAGAGAATCGTGTTATCTCTACAAATCTCAATTATCAATACAAAAATCGATTATCTCAAAATCTCTGATTTTCGTAAATTCTAATGGAATAAATAATCTTTTTAGTTACTCAAGGATTCACACGTTTCTTCGTTGTTCATAGCTCAAAAACCCCTTCCGTTTATAGCTGTATATATTCTTTATATATTCTGAATGTGTCGTACAATCATTTCAGAAGCCAATACGTGAATTTCCTGAATTTTTCTCTTCTGTACCCGACCGCATTGGGTTCTCTGTGACTTATAAAGTAGTTTTAGCGTTAACAACCTCGCCTCTTTATTTCCCGCGAGTTTCGATGGCCGACAGTAGCAACGACACCGGCCGTCTAATTCGAGCAAAGGATTAATCCGAGCACAAACGCGCGGGACACATTCAATTACCCCGTATCCGGTGTCAAGGCTCGGCCGGCGAGAGATACTGCTCGAAAAGAGCAAAGAGGAGCCGGAAAAGCGAGCCGACGTTGTCTGGAAATGTGCCGGCGTTATCGTTTCCGTTCTCATAACGTCCCGTGTCTCCGCTTATCGCGCTTTATCAGCGAACGACCCGCTGGAAACCGGCCGACACCCCTTTCCTCCGTCTCCGCTACCCTTCCGTCCTCTGTTTCTCTTCAGTTCCTCTTTTTTCCCGAGCTTCCCCCCTTCTTCTTCTCGTCCGATTCGTCCCCGATAGCTGGGCGAAGGTTATTATTGCGTAGATCGATCGTTATTGGGTCTAGTTTTCGGTTGGTCGGATGATTCGATTAAAACGGTTAGGAAGTCGTAAATACTTGCGCAATCTTGCCGCTTGTAAGAGTGATAAAGAGAAGCTGATGATTTTGGCTTCTAATTCAACGCTGCTTGTTTAGATGTAGAGACTTTAGTGGAGATGATCAGTTTATAATGTACAAGCGACTTTAATCATGAACAATGGATCTCAATTCTTAACGTTTCTCGAGAGCAATCATTCTACTAGGAAACTATAAGGAGCTTGTATAATTCTACACAAATCTTTAAATTAACGCGGACGAAGACTAAAGTACGCAAAGCAACATTTGAAGCTGAATTGTACATCGAATGCTTAAACAACAGTAAAAAGGAATACACTGATCACTATTCAAGTAATTAAGTCATTCGTTTGCAACTTAGTACTCCAAATAGGAACATTTCATCTAATCGAGAAGTTAATACATTCAATAATTCACAGAAACTTCGAAACTTTAACGCGAGGAGTCGAAGAATCCCTCTTCCCATCGCGAAACGAGAATCCTTCGAAGACATATAATTTTCAAAACGAATCCCAAAATCATAAAGCATCCTCTTCGATCCACGAGTGTCTCTCCATCGAGATATCCGTCGCGGAACGCAGACGCTCGGACCACCCAGCCTCTTCCCGGTAAGATTGAGGCGCGCCCGTAAAAATGGCGTCCGCCGAGCGGCGTCCCGTCGCGGGCTCTCATTCGCGCGCGATAAATTCTATCTTCCCCGGCCGATATCCAACGGAATTGACTTGTAATAACTTCGGGGGACGGGCCCTCCCCCATTTTTCGGGCAGATAGGCGCGCACGTAATTCCCGGCCGCGGCTTTTTGTCTCCTCCTTTCTCATCTTCCTTCGCGCTGTTTTACGTCACCGGAAACAATGGCCGGGCGGGAAGAAGGGTGGATTTAAGGTCGTCGCCGGGGACGGGGATGGAAGTCGGGGGCCGAAAGAAATACGGCGGCAGTGAATCCGTCGGAACGCGACGGAGAGAGGACGACCAGGCTTCGGCTGGGAACTTTCGAAATCATTTTTTTGTTTTTTACGTCGCTCGTTGCAGCGTGTCCGTGCCTCAGCTCCGTGAAATAATTTTTCGGCGTGCTCCAGTTTCCACGGGTTTCGTAAATAATTCCGTGACGCGTGGGCCGCACTGTTAACCGAGTGCATGATGTTTTGATGGAGGAACTCGGGGGAGTGTTGCTACTCCATCTTCATTACGCGATTGCGTTTATTCTACGTCCTTCGCCTTTTTCATGCGGTAACGTAACTTTGTATATTTATTACGCCAGTAACGCGTCGCAGTGTTCCGTTTGTTGAGAAATATCTGTGCGTGACTAACCTTTGTTTTTTGCTGAGTGAAATTTGGAATATTTGTGGATGAAATTTGATTATGACAGTTCTGTGTGAAGCCCATTTTTCTATAATGGAAAAGAGAATAGAATAAATATTCTTTTCAGTTATTAACACTGGAACTACCGTACCAGCCAAAATGACTGGTTTCGATTCTTTTGTTTAGCAATTATTGATGTCTTCGAATTGAATATTCGAAATGATTTTGAAAATAGTTTCATTTGAGTACTATGAGTCCCTGAAGAAACTGAAAATAATCTATTGGTACAATTTTTATAGGAATTGCATAATAATCATATTAAATGCTCGGTAGTTCTTAAATGACTCTAGGTTAGAAAGCACTTCTTTTTATAGCTGCTGAATGTGTAGTGTAATCATTTATAAAATATTCATTTTCTCAATGATTCTTCTCCGGACTTAAACACGTTGGCTTCCGAGCGACTCAATCGATCCTTGTTTCGTTTCTTACAGTTCATCAATGAAAATTGCGTGGTTGCGTAACGATTCCTAATCCGCTCGTTAGCAATGCCAGTCATCAATGTCCTCCGCGTAATAAATCGACGTAGACACGGGCTCTGACAACTCAATAGAGTAATGGCAACGGCGAACTGTCATCGATCCCCATCCCTGTCTCTATAATCTTGCGTTCTTCCACTCGCCCGTTCCCACCAGGCGTTGCTTCACACGCGGGACACCGATGATTCCGGTTCTCCCCAGGATAAGGTCCCTAGCACCTCCTAATCTCTGTCGCGGCAGCTGACACTCGCTGCTAGTCTCTGACAGCGACGACGATCGCTCGAAAAATTTGAATAATTTCGCTAATTCGTAAAACGATCTAAACCATTACCTCGAAATGTTCAATTCTTAACCCAATTCAATCGATGAAACTTCATTTCGAGTTAATTGCCTAGAAATTTCAGAACACTTTTAAATCGAAAATCAGAATACAGGATTTGAAAAATCGTCAGATACCTCTCTATCTGAGAACAAATCTGATAAGTTCCATTAAACAAGTAAACTCTGAAAAATGTCAATTAATGTCAATTAATCGTCACAATCTGTTACTGTTCCAGTAACCAAATCATTCGCTCCCTAGTATCCCGTACACGAAAATTCCATCTCCCAAAACGTCGACATTCGTGCGCATAGTTAACTCGCCAGAAATCCAATCGCGAACAATGCGATTCTCGATCGTCTCGCGTGAAATCAGCCGAATAAAATTATTCGAAAATTCATTCACCGTGCCGCTGGCGCGGAATCCGAATGCGCGGAGGACTCCGGTAATTCGAGTGCATTGTGCGCGTCGCGAGGGTCACTCGCATATCAGCGGGGATCGTCTTCTAGTAACGATCAACCCTCAAAGTCGATCCACGGCGGCGCACGGTATCAAAGAAATCCCAATTTCCTGTTGATTCGACGGCACAAAAGCCGATCGTCGCACAAAAGCCTGGCCCCGTAGGGGCCGGCATTGTTGGCAACCAGGAGCTCCCTAATGATTCAGGATTACTGTCAGTCGACCGACTGCGAAGTAGTTGTCTAACGACCGGCGGAGCCTCGATCCATCGGCGCCGGATATAATCTAACGTGTATCGCGCCCGCGCGCTGCGTAGACGTTCGTTACCGAAGTTTCTCGCTCGTTAATTACACCTGATAGCCGGCCGTCTTATCAGTAGTCAGGAGAGGATGCGCGATAGACGCCGGTAATTAGCCAGACAGGGACGATTGTGCGCCAGCTGCGGCCGCTATCGTGCTCTAGTAACTTATCGTTCGTTGTGGTTTTTTTTCTTTTTTTTTAGCTGCAGCAAGAGTTTGGATGTGTGTGCTTCTTTTTAGGGAGATGATTAGGTGATTGTTGGGTAAGGTTGATGGACTGTAATTTGATTTTGAAAGGGCGATACTTGAATTTGAATTTTTCTTTGTATTTACAGCTGTTTTTACTTGTGATCTTAGGTATATTTCTATTTTTATTTCTAGTTTCGTTTCTGTTTCTTTTTCCACTTGTACTAAAGTTTTTGGTTTACCGAATATGAATTTAGTACACTTCTTTCTTTAACCCCTTGCGTAAATACTACGCTAAGGGGTTAATCGAACGAAAGTATTATTCTCCCAATGCCAATACTTATTAACTCTTTGCACTCGGAAGTTTTTCACTAGAAATATTCAATACTTTCCAACGAGACATAAACGACATTGTTTGAAACTAATTTAAGGATAATTCACAGATAAATTAAGCGACAAAGCTGTTCTATTTAAATATTACACATTGCAATGCAAAGTTTAATTTAAAATAGTAAACATTCAACTTCATAGTTTCGCTGTATTAAATCAAGTGTTGAGAGTTACCTTTCGAGCGCAAAGGGTTGATAGTACTAATCAAGTGAATTTTAAATATCTCCTGATTCTCCTAAAGTCGATTTGATCGGGGGTCACCGGTGACCCACGGCACTCGACGCGCTGACGGGTCAAGTAGCAATTTATATTCCTCGAAGATGGCGCGCGTCGAGCATAACTCTCTGACCGATGCATCTCCTGCCGTTTGTTGCAGGGAGTGTTCTATGTTCCTGCGTGTATTCCTGATCAAAGTAGACCGTGCGAGTGATCCCGGACTTTCGAGGTTGTATCTCGGGCGTATCGATAGCTCGAGCCCAGGAACCAAGCACAGGAAAAGTGTCCTCGACTGGAGGAGAGCGCAAGTACTCGGCATGAAGGGTGAGTCCTTTGAAACTTCCCTCTCTCTTTCATTTTTTTCCCTTCTGCAGACGTATGTCCGCGCGTACTCGCAACTCTGTGTGTGTACGTGTGTATATATATGTTACGAAAACCCACGGGAATCGATGGCCATCGACGTCTCGGACCACTTCGAGCGAGGATACGAATATCCCTCGAATTCGCTTCGGAAATTAGGGATCCTTGAGCGAGCTGCTTCAGAACGCTACTTAGATGCGATTAAGCTTTTATTTCTTCGAGAGGATTTTTATTTCTGTTGGGGATCATTGGATCGCTTTGCGGGGTTGTCCTTTTGATCGGAATTTTGGTTTGGTTGTCGGAATCATTTATATTCGATGGTACGAATATTATAGTTGGTAATCTCTGATTCGAAGTCTATTTTATATAAATACTTGGTGAACCGTAAAAGTACCGCAATCGATTACTAATTATTCGCCGAGGATCATTGGATCGCTTTGTGGGGTTGTTCCTTTGATCGGAATTTTGATTTAGTCGTCGGTATCATTTATATTCGATGGTACGAATGTTACAGTTGGTAATCTTTGATTCGAAGTCTATTTTATATGAATACTTGGTGAACCGTATTGAAAGTACCACAATCGATTGCTAATTATTCGTCGAGGATCATTGAATCGCTTTGCGGGGTTGTCCTTTTGATCGGAATTTTGGTTTAGTCGTCGGAATAATTTATATTCAATGGTACGAATATTACAGTTGGTAATCTCTGATTCTGTATTTCCCATAAATACTCGGTGAACCGTAAAAGTACCACAATCGATAGCTAATTATTCGAACATCTCGAGGACCATCGAACCATCTTCGATTTATCAAGAACCATCAAACAATCTTCGATCTATCAAGATCAAACATTTACAAATTCACAAAAAACCTCCTATATATTCATACAAACAACGCAGCGAAAAATTCAGGAGTACAAAAAAGTGCCAACTACTTCACAAACAGCCACGATTCAGTGAAATATTCACAGTCGCTCGAAAGATTGGCGCAAGCGGGTGAATTTTTCAGTCGAAACCGAAGTCGGAGAGGCTCCAGGCTCGAACTCGCGTACAGCTTGTTCGGGTTCCCTCGAAACAGGTTTGGAAAGCGGCGGAGCATGCGTGGCGTCGCTCGATCCGATCGATTTCCCCGGGTTTCTCGAAAACAAAGCGGTCAATGGAAAACACACTCGTCTCTCCCCGACGAATCGGATCATCGGCCGCCTTTGAGCCTCGAACGGCGCTGCCGGAGGAAACGGAAGCCGAGAGCCGGCGCCGGGACGAACCGGTTTTCGCGAAGTCGATCGGTGGAAGGGTGACTATATCGGGAATAGAGCGGAGCGCCCTCGAACTCGGTAATCTGGCCTCCATTAAAAACTTCATCGAGCCTTTATCCTGTTCGAGTGGCCGCCGCGTTATCTTTTAATCGGCCGACCCAGATAGATGGACAGGGAACTGGGAAGAAGGGCAATCCGGGTCGAAAGTATCCTCTGACGCAAGCTTCTTCCTTAGAAATGGGTGAATTGGAAATGCCCGGGAATATTTGCGAGCATTGATAAGGGATAAGAATTCTCCGCGATGGGAGCGGTTCGGGAACTGTTTTAGTTAGCGTGTTACGTGTATTAGTATGTTTATTGGGCATTGGCAGGGGAATGTAGGATTTGAGGGGAGTTGTAAGAACTTGTTTTTGACGGTATTTCTACTGAAGATATTGAAAGTTGAAATTTTAAATTGCAATTATTTTCCAAGGGTGCTCGTATCTTTCGACTTTTGCGATAGAGATTATAGAATTAACTGTAGGAAATGTGTAGGATTCAGTTGAGGAAATAATTGTTGACGTTTCCAATAACGATTGTAGAATTGACTGTAGAATTCAATTGAGAAATCATTCAACTGGGAATAATATTCAGTGAATATTTTAAAAGTTTTCCAGAAAAATAGATTTCACTAAGATAGAGCGTATTAAATCTGTTACTTAGGATTAACTAGGCTATTTCTAGGCGAGTTTCCGTGTTCAATTTGAAGAAGAATATTGTTCTCAAGGAGAAGATAGATTTAGATAGATAGATAGATAGAAGATAGATTTAGATAGATAGATAGATAGAAGATAGATAGAAAATAGATTTCACCGAGATAAAGTGTTAAATCTACTACTTGAAATGAATTCTTTGCATTATTGAAAACTGTCTCACCCTATGCTTACATTGCTACACACAGATGAGACATCATTAGAGTCCTTAAAAGCGATTCCTATAAAGAATACCAGAATCCACTGAAAAAACTAACCTCCCTCCGTTTCCAAGATTCGAAAGAGAAACTCCTATCGACACGAGGCCAGTGGAATCCATGGTCCACCGGAATCCATTCGAAGCGTGATCATAATTACAGCGGGTTCCGTGCGAAACGCACGATCGCCGGCCGACTCATTTTCTAATGAAACTTCGTTCCCGCAGGAGGCGGCGGTAATTGTTTCTCGGCACGAGTTAAAACCCGCAGCGCAGCGGCGCGGCTCGCGAGACTTTCTTTCGAAACAATTGGAAGCGAACGTCGCGCTGAAAATGTGGAACGAGCTGATGGTTGCGTGCGAGCAATCTGCGTGTTCCCGGTCGATCTGGGTCGGCCCGGAATCACTGGAAACGTAATTCCAGGATACGCGTTCGACGCCCTTTCTCCCGCCATTTTCCCCGACCTCCTTTTTTTTCTAATCGCTCTAATGAAACAACACCGGTTTCCCAGTCTCCCTCTCTCTCTTTTTTTTCTTGCTCCTTTTTCTTCTTTCTTTCATTCCAAGCCACGGCTTCGCCACGGAGACGCAGCTTCGTTTTCTTTGTTGGAGCCCGCGAAACCGTTCTCCAGCCCTAACCTAACCTAGATTCGGCTCTCCGCGGAACGAGAACAACCCACATTCTATTCTTCCTAGAGACAGGACACGCCAGCGCCGCGTTTTCCAAGGAACAATTCGTCCGGATCCGAAATTCGTTGGACCGGGTTCGTCCTCGCGCACCCGGAAGTATGAACCTCTCGACCGGGAACAGTCCAGATGCAATTTGTCCCCGGATGTTCCCCTTGACGCACGGCGTCGCTGTTCTTCCGAAACGAAGATAATTTCGATTCTACCTTTCTTCGATTCGGTTCTGTAGTTGGCTCGTCTAGGCGCAATTTGTATAGGGATACCGGCTCCCCCGAAATTCAATTTATTTCCACGTACGGGACCCCCTAAATTCACTTTGTATCTGCATCGTTCGCCGGATAGAATTCGTCTCTAGACGGAGATTACCGTTGACTTCATTTATCCTTGAAGACTACTTCCCTTGACCCGACCCATCCTCATTCGCGGTTTCCCTAGGCGCAATTTATTCCTAGACATACATTACGCCACGCTCGATGTATCCCTAAAGGTGCTTCTCCCTAGACGCAATTTATCTTCGAATGTAGGTTACCCCGCGATCTATAAAAGTCGCTTCTGCCCCGTCTAATTTATCTCTGGCTACTGTTTCTCAGTCTACCCCTGAATATACCTATCCCCACGTGTAATCGATCTTCGTGAATTATAATCAATAATTTAGAATTCTGGATTCGAAGCTCTCTTATGATTAATCCAACGTTAGCCTACTGTGCCGCTAGTGTACTACACCTAGAACGTTGTCCCCACTTTTTAAAACTACTTCGGTGAAATCTATTCTTCTCGAGAACTAAACATTCTTATTCAAATTTGACACAGAAGCTCGCCTAGAAACAGCCTAGTTAATTCCAAGCAACAAATCTAACACACTTTACCTCAGTGAAATCTATTTTTCTCGAGAACTAAACATTCTTCTCCAAATTGGACACAGAAACTCTCCTAAAAATCTATTTTTCTTGTGAACTAATCATTCTTCTCCAAATTTGATACAGAAACTCGCCTAGAAATAGCCTAGTTAATCGCAAGTAACAAATCTAACATACTCTACTTCGGTTAAATGTATTCTTCTCGAGAACTAAACATTCTTCTCCAAATTTGACACAGAAGCTCGCTTAGAAATAGTGAATCCCAACTAACAAATATAACACACTCTAACAAACTCTATTTCCCAAAACTAAACATTCTTCCCGAAACGTAACACAGAAACTCTCCTAGTCAATTTCCCAGCAGACCCGAGTGCCTATTAATTCCCAGATCGATATCCCGGTTCCGAGGGTCTCGAGTGCGAACGGTCCCATTCGGATAAACGATCTCCGTTACCAAAGCGAGCGATCCGCAGGAACGTTCTCGGATCGAGTTCGGCCGTCGAACGTTCGTTTCGTCGAACCGCGAAAAAAGAAAGCGACCGGCTGGGGTCGTAAAAGCGTTTCGTTCCAGGCGGGACCGCGTGTCGCCGGGAGGACGCCGGGGGAGCGACTTTTTCCCTCGATCGGGCGTGAATATTCCGATACAGGTCGGTCGCGGGCGGAACGCGCCGTGGAAAATTTCGCTGGAAACGCGCGCGACGGTCGAAATAAAACGCTCGGCTCGTTTCCTTCATTTTTTTTCCCCCCCCGCCTCGACCGCGTCGGTTTCCCGTTTCACCTTTTTAATGTTCCGGGACCGAGGGAACGCTTTGAACCGGTTCGGGATCGATAACTCGGCGAACGAAGTCGGCGGCTGGCTCGCCCGCTCGCTCGCTCGCGATCCCCTTCGGTAATTATCCCGCCCCCTATTATCTCGTTATTGAATTTAACGTTACAATCGAAGTCGACGCGAGCCGGCGAAGGACGGGACGAAAATAGAAGCCACCGAGGCGTGTCGGGAGATCGGGGGCATGGCTCGCGTCTCTCTTTGGGCTGGCGTTGCTTCGCGTTTAGGGAAATTGGATTTGTGCTTGACCGATTTGCTACGGCGCTGGCTGTACTCGATGGAGCTCGAAGGGCTGAAGGCGGACGCGGGATGAAAGACACTGTTTATGAGGCTCATTTCAACCGGAATCGAAGATTGCAACGCTCGGGTTTTTAGGGGAGCGACATTTTTTA